GGGTCGGGTTCGGGTCTGAAAAATTGACCCGTTTGTAAAAAACGGGTCGGGTTGACCCGAACCCGAATAGGTCCGGGTCAGTTTCAGGTTCGACCCGAACCCGACCCGTAACCCGAAATTGACAGGTCTAGTGAGTACTATTAGCTAATTATTGAGTTCGTTTGGGAGAATAGCCTTGACGGATGGGTCACTTTGTGAGTCACTTTGTGAGTCATTTGATTTAGTTCAATAACACAATACTAATAGTTTGAATTTGGGTTGATTCTTAGATGATTTGATGAGATGTTGGGGATGTAAGTAAAATACCGTGATAAAACAAACAACAAAGTAAAAGCAACATAAAGTAAATGACATAAGGATATAATGCGGAAAACCCAAAATCGGGAAAAATTTGACGGAGCCACATTACACCAAGAAATCCACCATGAAAATAGGGAGAAATAAGTACAAATCTCTCTTCTCTCTTGCTTCTCTTCTCTCTTATATCATTCTCACACTCTAAACACAAGATAAAGCAATAACCAAACACCAAGGGATGCCACCCTTAAGAGAAATGAGAAATAAAACTATCCAATTCACCTCAAAGCATTGCATTGCTCAAGCCATTGTCATCAATCCATTAGATGATGTTGCGACGCTCAAATCCGCAGCGCTGCGACACTACACATCGCTTCAGTGCTTAATCTAGGGTGCTAAGATGCTCTGCTTTTTGTAGTTTCTCCTAGCAAACTCTACAACACTAGGGCGCTCGGGAACATAGTACCGAGGAGCTTGGGTACATAGCGTCGGGGGCACTTGGGCACATAGTGATGAGGCATTATACGGAAAAAAAATTTAGATGCAAAACACCCGAAGCCAAGCAAGGGGTAAACCCCCCGCATCCCTCAATGAGCACGAGAAATTGACTTGAGGTCTGAGGCAACAAAACAATCCTATTGATTGACAAAATCAGGTTCCACATAGACTAACAATCTCCCACTTGGAACTGATTGTGATCAATCCTTTTCTTATTTGCAAAACAAATAATTATCTGTAGTGTGGCTCACCACTGCTCTCATCCTCCATGAAGATCAATTGAAGCTACACATAGCTTCAGTTTATCAACTATCACCATCTTTGTCAGTATGTTTGCAGGATTATCGGTCGTGTGTATCTTCTTCGAAGATAGCTGACCATCTTCCAGAAGTGACATGATGAAATGATACCGAAGCTGGATTTGTTTCGTCTTAGCATGAAATGTAATATTCTTGGCTAATATATGAATAACACTCTTGTTGTCACTATATAACTTCTCATTCCTTTGTTGCTTGCCAAGTTTTTCCAAGAAATTTTGCAACCAAATCATCTCCTTGCTAGCCTCAGTGATAGCACTATACTCAGCTTCTGTGATTGAGAGCGCAACAATCTTCTGTAACTTGGAAATCCAACTTGAAATTCATTTAAGAGTAACTCGAGGCTTTACTAGAATTTGGGCTGGGCGAGTTTTAGCTGTAGGTGGTGTAAGTCAGCTCACAAACCACTTGTTGAGCCCAATTCAAGTTATCATAATGACTTGATTAACTCAACTTAGGGGAATTTGCGTGTACAAAGCTCAAGGGATTTTGAGATCTTAAATTAGATTTCCTTCATCCAATTCTAAAGTTTCCATGCCATTGCCCGCACAATTATATAATCCCAAAACCATCACCAAAATTTTGTGAAACCCTTTGTCAATTTTCTAGAACATTATATGCCAAACCTCTTCCAAATGTAGCTTCCCTATATTCCCTAGAAATAAAACACAATCTTGAAAACTTGCACTAAAATTGCCTTCCATTCTTGGATAATTTGATGCAAGAACCAAATTAGCCTCCACTTATGTTGATTAAGGATTCTCGCGTATACTTGTACATGTTCATATGGGTATTTTTGATGGGGACATCGGAGCATGGAAAGTTTATCAAAGGCGTGGCCACCGATTTACAACCACGATCACGCCGATATATTTTTAAGTCCTCATCATATGCAACTTGTTTTTATTAATTTTTTTTTGTATTTGCTTTAGTTATTTTTCCCTTTCTACCCTTTACTTAAGGGTGGTCATGTGTAAGGCCAAAGGGCTAAGTCGTCTTTTATTTTTCGTCTATTGTATGATGCTATATATAGCTATTATGTTTTCTTTTGGAGGTTAATGAATGAATGATAAATTTTTTTGCGTTTTGAGTTCTTGTGAGAGCTTGAGAGAGGTTGGAGAGAGATCCTTTAGAGAGGGAATCAGATCACCCACCAACCTTGTAGAGTATGGGTTCGTGGCTAGTTTATCTTTTCTTTTCTAATCTTCCTCCTTTCTTCTTCCTCTAATCCACGGTTCACCTAGCCCCAACCGCCGGATCTTCAAACTTTTTCTCCCTCCACACCCGTCTGCCTCATCCCACCGCCACCACCCAATCAACCCCTTCTCCCTACCTAGCCGCCGGCCCCCTCACCCAAATCCCTAGTCCAAGCTGCCGCCCCCCTTTGGATTTCCCTCCATCATCGCTTGCAATTAAGCCCTTCCTAAATTAGATCTTCATATTTTAGATTTTTAGGTAACTCAATTAATTTGCAAATTCAAATCTATGTGAATTTTAAATTATTTCCTAAAATATAAATCCTATTTTAGGAAAGTTTCCAAACCCTACCCTATTTGAATTTTAAATTAAATTGGAATGAGACCTCTCTTTCCAAATTTAATATCCTAAATCAAGAAAGCATTAAATGTTTCCCTAAACCTCTCCTCTCTCCCTATGCCGCCGGCCCCCCTTATGTTTCCCTTTGAAATTATTTCCAAAAGTTAAGCCACACTCTTGGAAATAATTCAAACTCTCTCTCTCTCTCTCTCTCTCTTAGCCCCGCCCCCTCCCCCCACATCCCTTTCCTCTTTAATTATTTCCAAAGTTAAGAATTAATTAGAGGAAATAAATCCCCAAAATTCCCTACATCCTCCCAAAATCTAAACCTATTTTCTTCCCAAGCCTCTTTCATTGGGCTGGCCACCTCCCTCCCTCTTCTCCACTTAACCTTTGAGAGAAACTTATTTCTTTCAAGAGGAGTCTTTAAGGGAAGCAAAGACCGTCGTCTCCATCACATCAACCCCACGGAATCAATGAATGGCCGATCCTGATCTTGACTCCGGGTTCGTCTACAACGAGCAAGAACACGTCGATATTCTCTGGTCAACATTCTTCGACGTCAACCCGGAGATTGACACTTCCGTCGACAAATACCTAGATCGAATCATCTTCACCTTGTTTGAAGCAATCAAAGAGCAACTTACCAACGTTCAGTGAAAAATCACTTTTGGTCCTCAACGAGGGTGAACTTCTTCCCCTATTCAAATTATCTTCTAATCCTCTGATCTTGTAGGTGGTGATTCGAGCACAAGGAATTGTGCCAAGCTCTCTACTGACGCTTAGTAAATGTAGGATCTGAGTTTTGATTTTCTATGTTTATAATCTCAATGTTAACTTAGGGATTTTATTGAATAACTACTTAATTTGCATGCGGTTAAAATTCTAAATTACTTTGGTGATTCTAGTTCTTAGCATGTGATTTGGCCTAAACGTAGCCACCCCTCTTTAGTTTTTTATTATTGTTTAGTGGCTAATGTTCATAATTATTTAGTGCTCTTATTCAAAACATGCAAGTTCTTATCGCATTCATCTCAAACATATTTAGTTCTGCATCAATTTCACATGTACCTAACATGTTCTAGTCAAAGAACTCGGTTAGAGCATCCACTTTGCCCAACAAAGGCACTTGGCTGCAGGGAACATTGTCTTGTCCCGGCTGATCAGATCGAGGAGTCATTCAGGATGTGCACACCAAGGAACTCATAGGATTCGTCCAAGCTCTCAGGAATTAGTTATCTTGGTAGAATTTGATCTTCAGAGGTCACTCTCCATAACTCATACCACTAGGCTATAACTGACATGCATAATCTAGCTACAGAAAGTGCACACCTTAAGGGTCCATGATTAGGTCCCTATAAACTCGGTCCTCGACTCACGGTAATCATTACCCAAAAGGATTCACCTCTTACACTAAGTGCTCTATACACTACCTCTAAGGACTCGCCGCTGCGCCCAAAGGACTCACCCACATAGACTCATCCTGCAGGCTATACCTCAAGAACTCGCCTAGTACATTTTCTATGTAAAGACTCATCAAGGGGATTCGTCCTAGAACAGAAGGTCACGCCAAAGGTAAAGAA